TCCTTACCTGGTCTGGCTACACGTGACCCCAGACCCACAGCAACGTGGATGACTCCTAACTGCCTCTGGGCATTTAGGGATGGACAATAACACCCATATCCCATGAATACTTCATAAGCAATTTTTAATAATACTGCACAATTTAAAATATCAGACAATGATATTTGTTTCCCCCAGCATTAAGCAACATAAAAAAGGATTTGGCAGCAATGCCCATCTATTCAGAAAATAAACTGAAATTTAATGATTGCGGGGGGAGGCGATGGCTTAGTGGTATCATCACTGGACTACTGATCGAGAGACCTAGATAATGTTTTGGGGAGCCGGGTTCAAATCCGCCACGGCAGATGGTGGAATTTGAATTCAATAAATATCTGGAATTAAGACCATGAATCCATTGCCGACTGTTGGAAAAACCCATCTGGTTCATTAATACCCTTTAGGGAAGGAAAGTGCCATCCTTACCTGGTCTGGCCTACATGTGACTCCAGACCCACAGCAATGTGGTTGAATCTTAACTGCCCTTTGGGCAATAAATGCTGCCTAGCCATGAATAAAAAAAATTTAATGCATGGAAGTGTTAATGGCGGACATGAGAAATTCCACCACTACCGCTTCTCAATTGCAGAGTTCCTCATTAAAATTAAAATCCTCCCACCATTTGCTGGCAACCTCAGATTTCAACCATTCATAAATTACTAATCAACCTAAATTACTCAGACATCTTCTTTCATAAAATGCTCCATCTGATTATCACACCCAATGGCACCATTAATCTACTTAAGCAATTCCCCTAACACTGGCTTGCTTCACACTCCCTACTGACTCATCCACTGAATTTTCACTTCTTCATTTCCATGGCATTGTTTCTGAAGCACCCTCCCTAGATTTACCATTTGTTTTGAAATTTATAACCCTTTTCTGCAAGCAGTATGTCAAACCTAAACCCTTTGGTCTTCTCTCCTGATCAGTATTTTCTTCAATGCAAAAGCATTTTGCACAATTTCCTCTGGACAGATAGCATTTGTGCAATAAACGTGGAGTAGTGATGTCAAGTATTCATTTTATATCCACTCAAATGCTCATCACTGCCTTCCTTCCAATCTTTACAAAAGGATTACAGATTTTATTCTATTGGATCAGTCTAGTTTCTGCAGAATGTATAAGTTCCATAATCTTGGTGTTTGCAAATACAACTGCAGGCTGCAAAACATAATTTTTGGTTTCTTATTGCCAAAGTTTAATAAGTACATCAGCTCCAACATGTTAAGTGTGCTAAATGGCAACTCTTGGGACACTGAAAAGATACTAAAAAGAAAAGTCAAATGTCTCGTGGCAAATACATCAACCATCCAGAGACACAATCTTGTATTATATACAACCTGTTAGGTACAGTTCAAATTGAGAACACCAGCTTTGGTTTAATATTAGAGTTCGAGAGACAGAATTGAGTCAGAGGTGAATGGCTCAAGTCACATTCTCCAGATGGGTTTAATCTAAGCTGTCACTGAAGGAACACTCTAGGAATCTGCTAGCTTTTGGACAAGTTAAACCAAAGCCAACATGAAAAGCAAAGATTTCTCCGAGTGTCCTGGCCAACATTTATCTGTCAATCAACACCACAAACAAGATCGCGAGTTATGTCACGCGGCGGAGCGTAGGACCTGCTCTCTCTGTTGCCTCCATTGCATCCGTAAATACAAAACAGTACGGGCTGTGCGGAAAGCGACGTACTTTATTTTCTCAAAAGTACTGAAAAGGTACTTCCCATACTGTTCATAACGGTGGCACTTCTCAATGTCACCTGCCAGACATTAAAATTAATCCCTCAAACAGCCTCTTGTCGAGGGAGGAGAAGCGAGAATCACCCGAACCTCAAGAAGCGAGACCGATTCCGGGAACTCGCTCACTTACTGGAGTTCAGGAGGATAACTGTCTCCGAGAATTATCCATAATGTTAGCGGGCAGGGGACATCAAGGGCGGCAGCAGCGGCAAACAAGAGGTGGGTGCGGTCGTTCGGCTTTCCCCGTCCGCCTGGACCTTCCTTTCTTCCCTCCACCCCACCAACGCCCAGCCACGGCCTAGTACCGGCGCGGCGCTCTGCCCTGGGAGGGAACGCGCTGTCCCCGCTTCTCTTTCTCTCTTATCCTTCCCAGTACACCCCCTACCACCTCCCCAGTAACGGCCTCTTCACTTGCTCGCTCCGGCCTCACCAGGTATCGCCCTTCTTCAGCGGGGTCTTCATCAGCGCCGCGGTATCGGCGCGCTGCGTCTCCAGTTCGGCCGCTCCGCCCTCCGCCATGTTCGCTAGCAACCGCGCGGAGCATGCCGGGAACGCTCGCTCTCCTTCCCCACCTCCCCGCCCCAACAACCCATCCGCCGGCTGCGCCAAAGAGCCGACTCGACAGGAGAACCCCTTCGTTTTTCTCGGGGCGAAGAAAGCACCGCGCGCTCCCCCTGGCGCTGGAGGAGCCCCCGACCGCCCAGCGTTCAGCTCGGAGGCAGAGACCGAATCTGATGAAGGGTGACTTTAATCGAAACGTTATCTCTGATTTCTCTCTCCACAGATGCTGAGTTTCTGCAGCACTTCCACCATCAGCAGTTTAATTTAATTTAGTTTAATTTTGACAAATGTGAGGTGCTGCATTTTGGAAAGGCAAATCAGGGCAGGACTTATATACTTGATGGACAGGTCCTGCGAAGTGTTGCTGAGCAAAGAGACCTTGGAGTGCAGGTGCGTAGTTCCTTGAAAGTGGAGTCCCAGGTAGACAAGATAGTGAAGAATGCATTTGGTATGCTTGCCTTTATTGGTCAACGCGTTGAGTATAGGAGTTGTGAGGTCATGTTGCGGCTTAAAGGACTTAAGTTAGGTCACTTCTGGAATACTGCAAGCAATTCTAGGGAGGATGTTGTGAAACTTGAAATGATTTAAAGAAAATATTTACAAGGATGTTATGAGGATTTGAGCTATAGGGAGAGGCTGAATAGGCTGGGGCTATTTTCCCTGGAGCGTCAGAAGCTGAAGGGTGACCTTATTGTGGTTTATCAAATCATGAAGGGCTTTTCTCTGGAGTGGGGGAGTCCGAAACTAGAGGGCATAGGTTTAAGGTAAGAAGGAAAGAAAGGTACCTAAGAGACAACTTTTTCACACAGAGGGTGGTGCGTGTTTGAATGCGCTGCCAGATGAAATGGTGGAGGCTGGTACAATTACAACGTTTAAAAGGCACCTGGATGGATATATGACTAGGAGGAGTTTCATGGGATATGGGCCAAATGCTGACAAGTGGGTCTAGGTTTATTTAGGATATCTGGTTGGCACAGACAAGTTAGACCGAAGGGTCTGTTTCCATGCTGTATAGCTCTATGACTCGATGAGCAGTTATTTATTTAATTTATTTCTGTTTTTTTCTCTCCACAGGTGCTGCCACATCTCTCAGAGTGGGCCACTGTGCACAAATCTAAGCATGAAATCATGAGATAAACAGCATCCCAGCAGAAGACCACCCAGGACATGGGACAGTCCCAGAAAATCTAACTCTATTGATTACTATCTCCTAACTAGGCCTTGTCAGCAACTTGATCCATGGCTCTCTGTAACACCCTCTAGTCATTTGTGAATGCAGTCAAAAGCTGGGCTACACTATGAGCTCTTGGGGATGTCACAAATCACATCTGGCTAATTTGAGCATATACTCATTATCCCTAAATTTGATCCCCTGTCTCTAACTAATTCCTTATCCATATCAATAGGTTTCCTTCCATTTCCAAAAACTCACATCCCTGTTTGTGATGTCTTGTCTGAAACTTTATCAAACTCTTTCTAGGAATCCATGAAAAAGAACTTACAAAATACTTCCTATGTACCATGTTAGTTATATCTTTATAAAATTGTAACTGGGTTTATCACAACTGATTTATCCTTTACAAATCTATGCTGGCAATTGCTGATCATTTTTTATGTTTTCAAACATTCTGTCACTTGTAGAATCACTACAGTGTGGAAACAGGCCATTTGGCCCAACAAGTCCACACCACCCCTCTGAAGAACATCCCACCCAGACCCATTATCTCATCCCTGATTTCCCATGTCTAACTCAAACATCCCTGGGCACTATGGGCAAGTTAGCATGGCCAATCCACCTAACCTGCACATCTTTGGACTGTGGGAGGAAACCAGAGCACCTGGAGGAAACCCACACAGACACAGGGAGAATGTGCAAACTCCACACAGACAGTCGCCCAAGGCTGGAGTTGAACCCGGGTCCCTGGTGCTGTGAGGCAGCAGTGCTAACCACTGAGCCACCATGCCACCAGTCCCCATGTAGGTTCTAATAATTATTCCACAACTGACTTTAGCCTGATAAAGTCATCTTTTCTTAATTCAGCCCTCCTATCCTGCTTAAATAATGGGGTGATATTGGGAAGTTTTCAAACAAAAAGGAAATTTCAAAGAGTTGGCACAATCAGTTGAGCATCTCTGTCTGTGTGATAATGAATGTATATTTGACCATGTGATGTCATCATCACAACTCTGTGCGCTATCTGAGCATGAAACCTGTGCAATTTTTTTTCATTCATTAACAGGATGAGGGCATCGCTGGCTAGGCAGCATTTATTGCCCATCCCTAATTGTCCAGGGGGCAGTTCAGAGTCAACCACATTGCTATGGGTCTGGAATCACGTATAGGCCAGACCAGGTTAGGATTGCAGTTTCATTCCCAAAAGGATATTAGTGAACCAGATGGGTTTTTCCTGACATTCGACAGTGGATTCATGGTCATCATTAGATTCTTAATTCCAGATATTTTTATTGAATTTAAATTCTACCATCTGCCACGGCAGAATTCGAACCCAGGTCCACAGAACATTATCTGGATTAACAGTTGCGAATATATTTATCAAATAATGTCCAAGAACCCTATTGGTGTGCATTTTCATTTGTGAGTTCATACCAAGACCCGCTGTGTGAACAATTCCAAGAAACAGAAGGCTAGGAAATTAATTTGTAAAGAAATGGAAATCTTCCAAAAGGTTCACACAGATATGTTTCTTTCTGCAAAATATTGACAAGGTTATCTTTTTGGATGGCATTTAATCATAAGCTTAAAATAGAAAACATAACCGTTGTTGAGGACTCAAATATCAGCTACATTTAACCTTGTGACATTGAGCAACACAATGTATGGAGTAATATTTTAAGACAGTGAGAGAAAAGATGTGGTGAACTGTGAAGGGGGGTGGGGGTAGTGCTATTCAAAAATTGAATATGCATAGCCAATATACTCAGAATACAAATCCGGCATAGCAGCCTAGATTTTGCAATAAGAATTCCAAAAATGCTTAATGTTATCATGATGAAGAGGTGCTGGTGTTGGACTGGGGTGGACAATGTCAGAAGTCAGCCAACACCAGGTTATAGTCCAATTGATTTATTTGAAATCACAAGCTTTCAGAGTGTCACCCCTTCGTCAGGTGAAGTGAGAGAGCAGCATACCGGCACAGAATTTAAAGGGAAGAGATCAATGGGCAGAGAGATCAAAAGATCATGCAAAGTTGAGTGTTGACAGGCTGAATGATAGGTCTTTGCGGGTGATCAAGAGTGTCAGATGTTGTGAGTGTGGCTATGGGAAAGAGAAGAGGACAGGGATCACTCGGATAGCTCCATCAAAGAAGTTACTACAGGAATGACAGGCTGAATAATCTCCCTCTTTACAATATTACTTTATAATTGTATGAATCTTGTGGAGTTGGTAGGTGGTATAACGGAAATTCCGTGGAATAGCCTGTTTGCCTATGGACCCCATTTCATGGTGGAATGTTTGTGGTGCTGTTGCCCTTTCTGATTCCAGTCAGCTTAGTGCACAAATAGCTGCAGCAAAATTAGTATCGTTATTATGGCTGCTGTGATCCCTCTGTGATTGTCCGAGACTCTCCCAAGAGTTAAAGATTAATCACCTTGATGCTGCTTCAAACAATACCAGAGAAAAGTCTCCAACATATTATTAATTTAGTTTTGCCATTTTTGTTTATTTGTTCTAAGAAGGTGGGGAAGGAGAAGTTGGGGTTCGGTGCGTTGGAAGTGAAAGCTCACATACACACAGCATCCAGGAAAATGTTTAAGCAGTTGTAGATATTATCCAGTCAACCTGTTCAGAGATGTTATAGATTTTGTTTACTCCTTGCTAAGGTTTATGACAACAATAAGAAACTATCTTTGTTTAGTGCCTTTGTGGTAATAAAACATCCCAAGGCAAAATATTGGAGCATTATCAAAGCAAAATTTGACACCAAACCATTTAAAAAGATGTTGGGCTCAGTTAGAAAGCTTGGTCAAAGAACCAGGTTTCTTAGAACTTATTGGGTAATAGGAGGGAAAGTTGAAGAGGTATAAGGTTAGAATTCCAGAACTTAAGACCTCGACAACTGAAGCCAATTGTCTGGTGATCAAAGATGCAAGAGACCAAAATTGGAGGACTTTTCCTTTTACATTCTTTAGTTGAAAGGCAATTTTGCAAGTTTGAAAGCCAAAACATCAGAAGCTGGAACAGGTCCTCAGTTGGAACATTGCACACAGATGTGTCAGAGAGTCATATAGCAGAGAAACAGACCCTTCAATTCAACTCATTCATGCCTACCAAGTTTCCCAAACTAAACTAATCTCACTTGCCTGTGTTTGGCCCATATCCCTCTAAACATTTCCTACTCATGTACTTGTCTAAATGTCTTTTAAATGTAACTGTACCTGCATCTACCACTTCCTCTGGCAATTCATTTCACTACAAACCACCCTCTGTGTGAGAAAGTTGCCCCTCAGGTCCCTTTTAAATCTTTCTCCTCTCACCTTAAAATTATGCCCCCTACCCTCGGGAAAAGACCTTGCTATTCACCTTATCTATGCCCCTCATAATTTTATAAACTTCTGTAAGAACTTTCTAAGCTCCAGTGAAAAAAGTCCCAGCTGATCCAGCCTCTCCTTATAACTCAAACCCTTCAGTTCCAGCAACATTCTTGTAAATGCATTCTGTACCCTTTCCAATTTAATAATATCCTTCCTAAAGCAGGGTGACCAGAATTGCACACAGTACTCCAAAAGTGGCCTCAACAACATCCTGTATAACCACAACATGACATCCCAACTCCTGTACTCAAAGGTCTGATCAATGAAGGCAAGCGTGCTAAACGCCTTCTTAAACCACCCTGCCTACCTGTGACACCAACTTCAAAGAGCAATGTACCTGAAGCCCGGGATCTCTCTTTTCTACAACACTCCCAAGGGCCCTACCATTAATTGTGCAAGTCCTGACCTTTTTCATCTTACCAAAATGTAACACTTAGCATTTATCTAACTTACACCCCATCTG